CACGAGCAATTCCATAAAATATATCACAGAAGTAATATGAACTGTTTCCTTAAGTTTTCACAAAATATTCCCATTATCAGGAACAACTGAGTCAGCTTGATTATCCATCATTCTTGTTTACACTGCTGAAAAGTATATAACATCTCTAGTCTTTGTTGTTAAGCTTCATTGAAACACATTCCATATGGCAAGAATTTGAAGTGAAGCCCTGAGAATTCTCTTAATTCTGTAGTTAGTGCACGATCTATGTACTTCAGAAGTCACTCAATCACATCTGATGGTGTCTGGTGGGATGATTCCTTGATCTGGGTGATGAACGTTACATATACAGCCATGGAGGACAGATGAAGTTTTGTAGTTATTTATGCAACGTTTACTCAGCATCGTCGATTAGATATTAGATTCTGTAAGTTCATTTACTGTGTCCATTTTGAAAAAAAGTAATAGATATATATCTCCTTTGTTTTATGTCTCCTGTAGGCACAGTAAAACAATGCATCTCCTTTATTCCGCATGGATTGCTTTTTTCTTAATTTTCTGTCAATGAGTAAGATTGAAATAAATTTCAGAATCAACTCAGCTAACACTGGAAAGAATAGTACGTATAACTAAATAAGGTTGTCATCCATACCTGAATGTCCCATCCACCAGGTTGTAAGGCTCCTTATCGGCTGTTTTATAAAGTAATAATTTTCCCCTCAACCTACCAAATAGAAATTCAAAATGTCGGAGCAACTACAATGGCACATGCATTTGTGTAAAATGCATATAGATGCAGCGCTATTTTTATATATTTTCCACGTTTTATGCATTTATTCTGTTCAACTGTATCATTATTAATGGCAATCTAATGTTAATCAGGGGCCTCAGAAAGTATTTAACATTTGGGAGGCAAATGGATACGGAAAAGGCATACAGTTACTTGTAAAAATTGAAGAGAATCCAGTATTGCATCGTAGAGCTTTGATAACAGTAATCATTGATAAATGGTTGATGGTTGAGGTAACAGAATAATTAATAGTGGGGGTCGTGATCGAGGCTTTTCCATCATTCATGAAAGAATGGAGTACTATTTTCACTAAGGCAAGGCAGCTCTAATATTAAAATGAACAAGGTAAATCATAAAAATTTCCAGATCACACAATAGTGTAATTTTGGAACAAGATATCCAAGGGCCTAAACGGTCACTTGAGTATAACCCAACCTCCTAAAGCGTCCATAGAACGGTAATTTTAATAATTAACAATTTAATAATTATATAATGAAGCAAATTTAACTGATAAAGGAAAAAGTTGTTGCTCAAAAATAACAGAAATAGGGCGATCAAGGAAGAACAAAATATTTAATCTGATTTCTGAAAAGTTTCTGACAATAATCTTTAATAGTCAGATGACGACGACACCTATTTATAGAATTTGTTTTTCCAGCAGTTCAGAATCAAAGCACGGTGTTACACAAGTCAGTGTGGGTAGCATGTAACCTGTGTGTCACATTGGAACTGTAAATGCAAGTGTTATTTTCATTCCTATTTTCACTATCATCTTTGTTAACAACGGTACTTACCTTCCGCATGAAAGTATAAACTATTTAAATCAAACCCTGTGCAATCCTATTTATTTGGCCTCACCTGTTCGTTGAATAACATGTAGTGTATGAAATTTAAGGATTTTTTCCTGATGTATATCTATCTACTATTTTAAAGAAATCAAGTGACTATCACTTACATTATTATTATTGGTGAATAATCAAAGGTGTATAACTTCTTTCAGAGTAGAGTAGAACCTTCCCTATACGTAGTCAATGAAACACTAACAGCTGAACCTGTCTCCTGATCATGAATTTTACAAATCTAGTTTAAACAATCTTGTTTATTACGAATATGAACTATGTTTGCCTGATAATTGCTTAAGAACAGAGTAGAAAAATCCAAATAATTGATGTATTTTAACTAGGGATGGCAATCGAATACAGAATTGCCAATCGGTTAACCGCAAGACGTTCCGACCGATTAGTCGGTTAATCGTATCAAAAATTCTCGACATAGCTACACTCGAATTAGTAAGACTATGAACATGTTCATGTAGTAATATTATGCTTATATTTATATATGATCAGAATACTACATATATTTTATTTCAATTTTAATGGGCAAAAAAAAAGGAAAAACAGAAAAGAGAAAAAAGTAAGAAACCCATGAAACATCCTGAGGTCGCAGATGCATTAAAAAAATTCAGAAAAGATGTCATTCTGCATTTTCACCATAATCAAAATTTAATGTGAATTATCGATTATCTTACGATGTTTGTTTTAGAATATAACTTGATAGGTAACTGCAAAGGATAGAAGAGGTTGTGTACACATTATAATCAATTCAATTCAATTTATTCTCACATTGTGTAAAACAACATAGAGAAAATACAACATCAATGCCAAACAAAATACATGATGCAAAAGTGTACAGTTTACATTAACCAGGAAGGGTAACAGAAGTCAACAATCGTTTAATTAAAATCATTAAAGAAACACGGGACAGGGTGGGTAACGACATGTGTTTAAACAGCAATTAACGACTCGAAAAGTGACCAATTACCCCCACGCGATGTCAATCTTTAGAGCCTTAATTATATCTGAATCAACTTGAATAGGTGGACATGCTAACATTTCAGAAAATTTTATGTGTATTTTTAAATTGAATTTTCAGGAAATTGTATTCAAATTTACACATATATTAATTTTTTCCCGACTAACCGATTACAGATTTTCTAACCGATTACCATCGTTCCGACTGAGTAACCGGTTAACCGATTACAAATTGCCATCCCTAATTTTAACTATATTCATTACAAGATAAGTAGCATCCCAACCTAGAACCACCACCCTTGACCCTTGGGCTATGAATCTCACAATTAACTCAGAAGCACCCTTGCTCTCAAGAGTTCATGCATTTTCAATATCAGGCCTGCATTCAGGATTGCAGCAGCTAGCTTAGCTGCTAGGTTTAGATATGCTAGGTCTTGTCGAACACACTGTATGGATATGCTAGCACATTGTTAAAGATCATAGATGCTAGGTATAGCTATGTATCTGCTACAATCTTGAATGCATCCCTTATCAATGGAGCCCTATAAATTAATTTATATTGTTTACAATGAAACAATATTTAGCTCTTTCGGTCAATTGGTGTAAATATTTACTGGGATGAAGAGGATAACATACATTATGTTCATAGATGTGGTGCCCAAAGATAACATATTTATTTACTTTTTGACAACTTCAACCAGGTAGTGATATTTCCATAACAAGTCTCTGCCCTAACATCAGAATCCTAATCCTGGAGCCATGAATTTCACAATTTAGTTTATTATTTAAAAGTGGTTATTATTCAATATATAAATTGTGGTCTGCAATTCAACCTTGACAAGTGAGCACAAAAGAAATAAGGACGTATGATAAAGTAATTACCCTATACCTTAGGTTTCATTACAATAATTACAGGTAATGATATTCCAAAACCGACAAGTAGATTTAAGTTTAACCCAAATAAAGTTTCTGAACAGAGGGAAAAATAGAAATAGAGAGAGTGCATTGTTCAGACATTTATCTTACTTTGACTTCTTGGCTTTTCTGGTTGATCCTTGAAATCTCCTCACTATTGCTGGTTGTTAAGGGTCTCTTTGTCATCTTGAGATCAAGGGTAGCCTTATTATTTAAAAAGAAAAATTGAAAAAGAAATTGAACAGTATTTTAATTTATAAATAGAAAGAATAGTTTGCTAATTGTTAACATTGTAAATTTTCCTTACTAGTACTTCAGCATTTGGCAGCAGTTCATCCTAGCTCATGATGCATTTCCTAGAAGATGATGATAGCCTCCACCTTGCCATAGAGTTCTGCCTTAATTACAATGCTTATCTAAGATAATTGACAAAAGATCAAAAAGATCATAATCTCCATCAAAAGATAATAAGCAAAATAAATCAGTTTTATTGAATCAGAGTTTGCTCATTGATTGGTTGTTATGCCTGAATTTGATCCTGGCTCTCCAGACCTCCTGACAAATGATGAAGATGAACCTCACCTTGGGATTGAGGCTTGTTTAAGATAATTTTTTGACAAAGAAAGTCAGGAGGTCATAGAAGTACATGTATCCTGCTTTGATAAGATCGAAAACAAAGATCAAAAAGTACAACAAAAACAGCGTTTTACCTCATTGGCCAATGTTGGCTACTGATCATATCTTCTCAATGGACTCCTTTCTTCTGTTGGTCAGTCCTCCTGTGTTCCACTTCCAAGTGCCTGAAAAAAAAATAAAACAGTGCCAGGAGATTAGCAGTGATTCAACACAATAAATAAGAAAATTTGAGTGACATACTCTGACATTCACTTGCATTAAGGTAAGCATCAACTGACAAGAAAGCACGCAAGGAATAGAATCTTACTGTTTCTTCCATAGATAGCAGCAGGTGAACAGAAGACAGACTTCACCTCACAATGTGCTTCAGGTGATCCTTATCCACTTCAAACTAATAAAAAATATCAAGATATCATAGGAAAAGCCTTTAAAGCCTTCATATCAATTGAGAAAGAGCCCAACAACTGTAATCATGACTGACTTTGTTAGACAATCTTATCCTATCTTCTATGCTTGGCTTCCTGTCTTCACCCTGCTCACAAACAAGAAAGTTGTTTCTCACAATGGGATCAAGGCGTTTGTAACCATTATCCTGTTAACAAAGAGAGTCAAGATAAAAGAGGATGGAGATAACTGTCATGTTTGCGTAAGTATGGAAAAGTAGACAGAATAAGAGACGAAGTAATAAATAAGAAAAGCTTCCCTGTGAGGCTCGCTGGATGATGACCTGGATCCTTCTGCTCCTTGGGATGGATCCTCTTCTGCATCCTGTCAATTGGAAGTCAAGAGGTCAAAGCTCAACCAGGTCAACATCACTTGAGAAGTAAATAATGGGGAAAGAATGCAGGGAGAAGAGCCCAAATCTTACCTCATCTTTCAATGATGGCTGCAGCTGAATGTGAGACAACAGACTCCTCCTCACCACGTGCTTCGGATGGTCCTAAGCTTCTTCTTCCTAATAAAAATATACAGATGTCAAGTAAGTAAACTGAGAAAGAGCCAACAAAGACATGGCATGATTGATCACACGAATCTTACCCTTTTTTTCTCTGCTTGGCTGCAGATAATTTCCTGTCCTATACCTCACTCCATGCTGACAATCATGGAAGTTGTTCCCCACATCGGGATCCAGGCATACGTAACCATCCTCCTGTTAACACAGGGAGTCAGGAAGTTAAAGGAAAAACCTAACTCCTCTGATCAAATTAGATTTAAAACAACAGGAAATCAAAGTTGTAACAAATGCAATATATATTTCATACCACTTTGGCCAATACTGATTTCTGTTCATAGGGCCAAAGTTTTTTTTTCAATTGGTTTACGATTCCGCCGACCCTAATTTTCACCAATCATGAAAATAAAAATAATGTCTTTTTCCGACATATTTTTCCGGATTTTTCTCAGCTGAACTGGTGGGTTTTAAATTTTAGAATGCATCTTAGTCAAATAAGCGCTATAAATATATGAGACCTTTACAAACATTTAGGTGACCGTAAATAAACACATGTGCAAACCAAAAATGGCGGTTCTGTCATGTAACAAGGTAATTCCTCACTGAAAGGAAAGACACACACTTAAAGAACTTTTTCTGCATGGAAAAGTGAATAAAATCTTGGATGCATGATCCCTTTCTCTAATTGCGATATCTCAATTGGCTAAATTCATCCCGTAATATTGGAGAGTGTATGACCAACCCTGATCGACCTACCAGACATGGATACACCTATAGGTAACAGGGATTTATCAGTGCCTTCTCATGGGCCGAAATTCGGCCCCATTCCTAATTGAAAATGAGTTCAGTTTTCCCAATTTGGCATTATTTTTTCCCAATTGGTGAACAATGCTTTTATTTTTAACTATCTTTGGGAAAAAAGTAAAATTGTCAGATTGTCTGTAATTTTCATCTATTTAACTCATTTAGCAAAGCTACAGTCATAACACATGTTTTAAAACACTGAAAAAACGTCGCCAACTTTTAATCCGAATTTCCTCCGTTTTCTAAAAAATGATGATATTGTGTAATTATATAGATTTATTAAGTTATTTCCATCTACTCAATTGATCTACAAGTGAATGGTAAGGACTTTATGCATTATTTCAGATAGAAAAATATATTTTCAATGCATTAATACATATTAAAAGAGGACTTTTAGAAATGTGTACTTAGTATAATTTTTTGCAGGAGGTTTATAATCTCCAGAAACAGATACTATAATGACCTAAATTGAAATCTCATACACACATGTACATGTACTACCCTAAGATGTATAAATACTTTATACTCATTGAAGTCCATTTTAATTGTCGTTTGGTTGCCCAAATTAGAGTTCATGCTGAAATGTTAAATGAATTACCCCTGAATACATGATTTAAGCAACATTTTAATTTTTTTTTCCAATTTCATCAAATAGCCGATATTTTTTTCCCAATTCCCCAAAAATGGTGTTTCCCAAAATAGGCTGATAAATCCATGGATAATAGTTAAGCCAATCTAGTGTTGAGAGATACATCTTAGTTGAAGTAACGCTGACCTGAGTGAGTGATTATTTCACTGGATAAATTCAAATGTGTATAAAACATTTTGTTAATTTATAGAAGTAATTTTAATATACAAATCTTTGCAAATTTGATACTCAATTGAGATTAGAGCCCTCTGAATTACTAAGTAAATAATGAGCATTGCCTACTGTGCAGGTACATAACAAAATTTAAAGAAGGGCTTGATTGAGAAATTATTTGAACATTAAATTTAATAGCTGCATGATCAAATTATTACAGTATAACCTTTATTTCAATGTCAATTACTTTCAATATTGTTAAACAATTAAATTGTATTTTTCTTCAATCTAAATTTAACTTAAATTTGAATCTTTATTTTTAGTTTGTGGGGATACCGAGGTTTATAACACATCACATATCACTGAAGAGCACAAAAAGAAGTTGAACATCATGAACCAAGCACTGATTGACAAACAAAAATCAGAACTAAATGAAAATGACATTCAGTCTAAAGTTAGAAATGAATTAAAATTAAATAAAAAGAGTTATGTGATCAAGACAATAAAACTTAAAAGTACTATTGACGTGTATTATTTTCATTAAAATAAACATTGCTGGTATTTAAAAATGAAATGGTTGAATCCTAAATTATTTTTATTTTTATTTTTCGACCACCCAATGCATTTTTTTGAGACAGAAAATCGTAAACCAAAAAAAATAAAAACTTTGGCCTAGGTGGACAATGAGCTCCTCATCTTTTGGTCTGCCTTACTTCTCCTGTGTCGTCCTTCGTCTGAGTTCCTGAAAATATACAACTTACAGAAGATTAGTAATAAATCAAACAAATATCACAGAAATTCACAAAATCATCTTTTCAAAAGACAAAATTAGTGGGAAAAAATTTAGCAAATGGGGACAGTTATCTAGGGAAAGGAAGTAGGAAAGGGGGTAGAGGAATTGAATGGGGATAGTTAGTCATGTTAGAGTAGGTAGGGGATAGGAGACAAAAAAGAGACAAAGTAGTTAATCAAAAAGAAAAAAAAACTTCTCTGTGATGTTCCCTGGATGATGACCTGGGTCCTTCTTTTGCTCCTTGGAATGGGCCCTTCTGTTCTGCATCCTGTCAATTGGAAGTCAAGAGTTCAAAGCCCAACCAGATCAACATCAATTGACAAGTTAACAATGGGGAAGAGTGCAAAAAGAAGAGCCCATATCTTACCTCATCTTTCAATGATGGCTGCAGCTGAATGAGAGACAGACTTCTATTATCCATGTGCTTCAGGTGGTCCTAAACTTCTTCCTAATAAAAATATCCAGATATCAAGGAAGTAACTGAGAAAGCGCCAACAAAATCCAGACATGACATGATTGATCACACGAATCTTACCCTTTCTTCTCTGCTTGGCTGCAGATAATTCCCTGCCCTATACCCCACCCATGCTGACAATCATGGAAGTTGTTCCTCACATTGGGATCCAGGTATCCGTAACCATCCTCCTGTAAACACAGAGAGTCAGGAAGTCAAAAAAAACCTTGCTGCACTAATCAAATTAGATTTAAAACAACAGGAAATCAAAGTTGTAACAAATGCAATATATATTTCATACCACTTTGGCCAATACTGATTTCTGTTCATAGCTGGACAATGAGCTCTTCATCTTTTGGTCTGCCTTACTTCTCCTGTGTCGTCCTTCATCTGAGTTCCTGAAAATATACAACTTACAGAAGATTAGTAATAAATCAAACAATTACAAATATCACAGAAATTCACGAAATCATCTTTTCAAAAGACAAAATTAGTGGGAAAAAAGTTAGCAAATGGGGACAGTTATCTAGGGAAAGGAAGGAGGAAAGGGGGTAGAGGAATTGAATGGGGATAGTTAGTCATGTTAGAGTAGGTAGGGGATAGGAGACAAAAAAGAGACAAAGTAGTTAATCAAAAAGAAAAAAACTTCTCTGTGATGTTCCCTGGATGATGACCTGGGTCCTTCTTTTGCTCCTTGGAATGGGCCCTTCTGTTCTGCATCCTGTCAATTGGAAGTCAAGAGTTCAAAGCCCAACCAGATCAACATCAATTGACAAGTTAACAATGGGGAAGAGTGCAAAAAGAAGAGCCCATATCTTACCTCATCTTTCAATGATGGCTGCAGCTGAATGAGAGACAGACTTCTATTATCCACGTGCTTCAGGTGGTCCTAAACTTCTTCCTAATAAAAATATCCAGATATCAAGGAAGTAACTGAGAAAGCGCCAACAAAATCCAGACATGACATGATTGATCACACGAATCTTACCCTTTCTTCTCTGCTTGGCTGCAGATAATTCCCTGCCCTATACCCCACCCATGCTGACAATCATGGAAGTTGTTCCTCACATTGGGATCCAGGTTTCCGTAACCATCCTCCTGTTAACACAGAGAGTCAGGAAGTCAAAGGAAAAACCTTACTGCTCTGATCAAATTAGATTTAAAACAACAGGCAACAGGAAATCAAAGTTGTAACAAATGCAATATATATTTCATACCACTTTGGCCAATACTGATTTCTGTTCATAGCTGGACAATGAGCTCTTCATCTTTTGGTCTCCCTTACTTCTCCTGTGTCGTCCTTCGTCTGAGTTCCTGAAAATATACAACTTACAGAAGATTAGTAATAAATCAAACAAATATCACAGAAATTCACAAAATCATCTTTTCAAAAGACAAAATTAGTGGGAAAAAATTTAGCAAATGGGGACAGTTATCTAGGGAAAGGAAGTAGGAAAGGGGGTAGAGGAATTGAATGGGGATAGTTAGTCATGTTAGAGTAGGTAGGGGATAGGAGACAAAAAAGAGACAAAGTAGTTAATCAAAAAGAAAAAAACTTCTCTGTGATGTTCCCTGGATGATGACCTGGGTCCCTCTTTTGCTCCTTGGAATGGGCCCTTCTGTTCTGCATCCTGTCAATTGGAAGTCAAGAGTTCAAAGCCCAACCAGATCAACATCAATTGACAAGTTAACAATGGGGAAGAGTGCAAAAAGAAGAGCCCATATCTTACCTCATCTTTCAATGATGGCTGCAGCTGAATGAGAGACAGACTTCTATTATCCACGTGCTTCAGGTGGTCCTAAACTTCTTCCTAATAAAAATATCCAGATATCAAGGAAGTAACTGAGAAAGCGCCAACAAAATCCAGACATGACATGATTGATCACACGAATCTTACCCTTTCTTCTCTGCTTGGCTGCAGATAATTCCCTGCCCTATACCCCACCCATGCTGACAATCATGGAAGTTGTTCCTCACATTGGGATCCAGGTTTCCGTAACCATCCTCCTGTAAACACAGAGAGTCAGGAAGTCAAAAAAAACCTTGCTGCACTGATCAAATTAGATTTAAAACAACAGGAAATCAAAGTTGTAACAAATGCAATATATATTTCATACCACTTTGGCCAATACTGATTTCTGTTCATAGCTGGACAATGAGCTCTTCATCTTTTGGTCTCCCTTACTTCTCCTGTGTCGTCCTTCGTCTGAGTTCCTGAAAATATACAACTTACAGAAGATTAGTAATAAATCAAACAAATATCACAGAAATTCACAAAATCATCTTTTCAAAAGACAAAATTAGTGGGAAAAAATTTAGCAAATGGGGACAGTTATCTAGGGAAAGGAAGTAGGAAAGGGGGTAGAGGAATTGAATGGGGATAGTTAGTCATGTTAGAGTAGGTAGGGGATAGGAGACAAAAAAGAGACAAAGTAGTTAATCAAAAAGAAAAAAAAACTTCTCTGTGATGTTCCCTGGATGATGACCTGGGTCCTTCTTTTGCTCCTTGGAATGGGCCCTTCTGTTCTGCATCCTGTCAATTGGAAGTCAAGAGTTCAAAGCCCAACCAGATCAACATCAATTGACAAGTTAACAATGGGGAAGAGTGCAAAAAGAAGAGCCCATATCTTACCTCATCTTTCAATGATGGCTGCAGCTGAATGAGAGACAGACTTCTATTATCCACGTGCTTCAGGTGGTCCTAAACTTCTTCCTAATAAAAATACCCAGATATCAAGGAAGTAACTGAGAAAGCGCCAACAAAATCCAGACATGACATGATTGATCACACGAATCTTACCCTTTCTTCTCTGCTTGGCTGCAGATAATTCCCTGCCCTATACCCCACCCATGCTGACAATCATGGAAGTTGTTCCTCACATTGGGATCCAGGTTTCCGTAACCATCCTCCTGTAAACACAGAGAGTCAGGAAGTCAAAAAAAACCTTGCTGCACTAATCAAATTAGATTTAAAACAACAGGAAATCAAAGTTGTAACAAATGCAATATATATTTCATACCACTTTGGCCAATACTGATTTCTGTTCATAGCTGGACAATGAGCTCTTCATCTTTTGGTCTCCCTTACTTCTCCTGTGTCGTCCTTCGTCTGAGTTCCTGAAAATATACAACTTACAGAAGATTAGTAATAAATCAAACAAATATCACAGAAATTCACAAAATCATCTTTTCAAAAGACAAAATTAGTGGGAAAAAATTTAGCAAATGGGGACAGTTATCTAGGGAAAGGAAGTAGGAAAGGGGGTAGAGGAATTAAATGGGGATAGTTAGTCATGTTAGAGTAGGTAGGGGATAGGAGACAAAAAAGAGACAAAGTAGTTAATCAAAAAGAAAAAAAAACTTCTCTGTGATGTTCCCTGGATGATGACCTGGGTCCTTCTTTTGCTCCTTGGAATGGGCCCTTCTGTTCTGCATCCTGTCAATTGGAAGTCAAGAGTTCAAAGCCCAACCAGATCAACATCAATTGACAAGTTAACAATGGGGAAGAGTGCAAAAAGAAGAGCCCATATCTTACCTCATCTTTCAATGATGGCTGCAGCTGAATGAGAGACAGACTTCTATTATCCACGTGCTTCAGGTGGTCCTAAACTTCTTCCTAATAAAAATACCCAGATATCAAGGAAGTAACTGAGAAAGCGCCAACAAAATCCAGACATGACATGATTGATCACACGAATCTTACCCTTTCTTCTCTGCTTGGCTGCAGATAATTCCCTGCCCTATACCCCACCCACGCTGACAATCATGGAAGTTGTTCCTCACATTGGGATCCAGGTTTCCGTAACCATCCTCCTGTAAACACAGAGAGTCAGGAAGTCAAAAAAAACCTTGCTGCACTGATCAAATTAGATTTAAAACAACAGGAAATCAAAGTTGTAACAAATGCAATATATATTTCATACCACTTTGGCCAATACTGATTTCTGTTGATAGCTGGACAATGAGCTCTTCATCTTTTGGTCTCCCTTACTTCTCCTGTGTCGTCCTTCGTCTGAGTTCCTGAAAATATACAACTTACAGAAGATTAGTAATAAATCAAACAATTACAAATATCACAGAAATTCACGAAATCATCTTTTCAAAAGACAAAATTAGTGGGAAAAAAGTTAGCAAATGGGGACAGTTAACTAGGGAAAGGAAGTAGGAAAGGGGGTAGAGTAATTGAATGGGGATAGTTAGTCATGTTAGAGTAGGTAGGGGATAGGAGACAAAAAAGAGATAAAGTAGTTAATCAAAAAGAAAAAAAACTTCTCTGTGATGTTCCCTGGATGATGACCTGGGTCCTTCTTTTGCTCCTTGGAATAGCCCTTCTGTTCTGCATCCTGTCAATTGGAAGTCAAGAGTTCAAAGCCCAACCAGATCAACATCAATTGACAAGTTAACAATGGGGAAGAGTGCAAAAAGAAGAGCCCATATCTTACCTCATCTTTCAATGATGGCTGCAGCTGAATGAGAAACAGACTTCTATTATCCACGTGCTTCAGGTGGTCCTAAACTTCTTCCTAATAAAAATATCCAGATATCAAGGAAGTAACTGAGAAAACGCCAACAAAATCCAGACATGACATGATTGATCACGCGAATCTTACCCTTTCTTCTCTGCTTGGCTGCAGATAATTCCCTGCCCTATACCCCACCCATGCTGACAATCATGGAAGTTGTTCCTCACATTGGGATCCAGGTTTCCGTAACCATCCTCCTGTAAACACAGAGAGTCAGGAAGTCAAAAAAAACCTTGCTACACTAATCAAATTAGATTTAAAACAACAGGAAATCAAAGTTGTAACAAATGCAATATATATTTCATACCACTTTGGCCAATACTGATTTCTGTTCATAGCTGGACAATGAGCTCTTCATCTTTTGGTCTGCCTTACTTCTCCTGTGTCGTCCTTCGTCTGAGTTCCTGAAAATATACAACTTACAGAAGATTAGTAATAAATCAAACAAATATCACAGAAATTCACAAAATCATCTTTTCAAAAGACAAAATTAGTGGGAAAAAATTTAGCAAATGTGGACAGTTATCTAGGGAAAGGAAGTAGGAAAGGGGGTAGAGGAATTGAATGGGGATAGTTAGTCATGTTAGAGTAGGTAGGGGATAGGAGACAAAAAAGAGACAAAGTAGTTAATCAAAAAGAAAAAAAAACTTCTCTGTGATGTTCCCTGGATGATGACCTGGGTCCTTCTTTTGCTCCTTGGAATGGGCCCTTCTGTTCTGCATCCTGTCAATTGGAAGTCAAGAGTTCAAAGCCCAACCAGATCAACATCAATTGACAAGTTAACAATGGGGAAGAGTGCAAAAAGAAGAGCCCATATCTTACCTCATCTTTCAATGATGGCTGCAGCTGAATGAGAGACAGACTTCTATTATCCACGTGCTTCAGGTGGTCCTAAACTTCTTCCTAATAAAAATATCCAGATATCAAGGAAGTAACTGAGAAAGCACCAACAAAATCCAGACATGACATGATTGATCACACGAATCTTACCCTTTCTTCTCTGCTTGGCTGCAGATAATTCCCTGCCCTATACCCCACCCATGCTGACAATCATGGAAGTTGTTCCTCACATTGGGATCCAGGTTTCCGTAACCATCCTCCTGTAAACACAGAGAGTCAGGAAGTCAAGAAAAACCTTGCTGCACTGATCAAATTAGATTTAAAACAACAGGAAATCAAAGTTGTAACAAATGCAATATATATTTCATACCACTTTGGCCAATACTGATTTCTGTTCATAGCTGGACAATGAGCTCTTCATCTTTTGGTCTCCCTTACTTCTCCTGTGTCGTCCTTCGTCTGAGTTCCTGAAAATATACAACTTACAGAAGATTAGTAATAAATCAAACAATTACAAATATCACAGAAATTCACGAAATCATCTTTTCAAAAGACAAAATTAGTGGGAAAAAAGTTAGCAAATGGGGACAGTTAACTAGGGAAAGGAAGTAGGAAAGGGGGTAGAGTAATTGAATGGGGATAGTTAGTCATGTTAGAGTAGGTAGGGGATAGGAGACAAAAAAGAGATAAAGTAGTTAATCAAAAAGAAAAAAAACTTCTCTGTGATGTTCCCTGGATGATGACCTGGGTCCTTCTTTTGCTCCTTGGAATAGCCCTTCTGTTCTGCATCCTGTCAATTGGAAGTCAAGAGTTCAAAGCCCAACCAGATCAACATCAATTGACAAGTTAACAATGGGGAAGAGTGCAAAAAGAAGAGCCCATATCTTACCTCATCTTTCAATGATGGCTGCAGCTGAATGAGAAACAGACTTCTATTATCCACGTGCTTCAGGTGGTCCTAAACTTCTTCCTAATAAAAATATCCAGATATCAAGGAAGTAACTGAGAAAGCGCCAACAAAATCCAGACATGACATGATTGATCACACGAATCTTACCCTTTCTTCTCTGCTTGGCTGCAGATAATTCCCTGCCCTATACCCCACCCACGCTGACAATCATGGAAGTTGTTCCTCACATTGGGATCCAGGTTTCCGTAACCATCCTCCTGTAAACACAGAGAGTCAGGAAGTCAAAAAAAACCTTGCTGCACTAATCAAATTAGATTTAAAACAACAGGAAATCAAAGTTGTAACAAATGCAATATATATTTCATACCACTTTGGCCAATACTGATTTCTGTTCATAGCTGGACAATGAGCTCTTCATCTTTTGGTCTCCCTTACTTCTCCTGTGTCGTCCTTCGTCTGAGTTCCTGAAAATATACAACTTACAGAAGATTAGTAATAAATCAAACAAATATCACAGAAATTCACAAAATCATCTTTTCAAAAGACAAAATTAGTGGGAAAAAATTTAGCAAATGGGGACAGTTATCTAGGGAAAGGAAGTAGGAAAGGGGGTAGAGGAATTGAATGGGGATAGTTAGTCATGTTAGAGTAGGTAGGGGATAGGAGACAAAAAAGAGACAAAGTAGTTAATCAAAAAGAAAAAAAAACTTCTCTGTGATGTTCCCTGGATGATGACCTGGGTCCTTCTTTTGCTCCTTGGAATGGGCCCTTCTGTTCTGCATCCTGTCAATTGGAAGTCAAGAGTTCAAAGCCCAACCAGATCAACATCAATTGACAAGTTAACAATGGGGAAGAGTGCAAAAAGAAGAGCCCATATCTTACCTCATCTTTCAATGATGGCTGCAGCTGAATGAGAGACAGACTTCTATTATCCACGTGCTTCAGGTGGTCCTAAACTTCTTCCTAATAAAAATACCCAGATATCAAGGAAGTAACTGAGAAAGCGCCAACAAAATCCAGACATGACATGATTGATCACACGAATCTTACCCTTTCTTCTCTGCTTGGCTGCAGATAATTCCCTGCCCTATACCCCACCCACGCTGACAATCATGGAAGTTGTTCCTCACATTGGGATCCAGGTTTCCGTAACCATCCTCCTGTAAACACAGAGAGTCAGGAAGTCAAAAAAAACCTTGCTACACTAATCAAATTAGATTTAAAACAACAGGAAATCAAAGTTGTAACAAATGCAATATATATTTCATACCACTTTGGCCAATACTGATTTCTGTTCATAGCTGGACAATGAGCTCTTCATCTTTTGGTCTCCCTTACTTCTCCTGTGTCGTCCTTTATTTGAGTTTCTGAAAATATACAACTTACAGAAGATTAATAATAAATCAAACAATTACAAATATCACAGAAATTCACGAAATCATCTTTTCAAAAGACAAAATTAGTGGGAAAAAAGTTAGCAAATGGGGACAGTTAACTAGGGAAAGGAAGTAGGAAATGGGGTAGAGGAATTGAATGGGGATAGTTAGTCATGTTAGAGTAGGTAGGGGATAGGAGACAAAAAAGAGACAAAGTAGTTAATCAAAAAGAAAAAAAAACTTCTCTGTGATGTTCCCTGGATGATGACCTGGGTCCTTCTTTTGCTCCTTGGAATGGGCCCTTCTGTTCTGCATCCTGTCAATTGGAAGTCAAGAGTTCAAAGCCCAACCAGATCAACATCAATTGACAAGTTAACAATGGGGAAGAGTGCAAAAAGAAGAGCCCATATCTTACCTCATCTTTCAATGATGGCTGCAGCTGAATGAGAGACAGACTTCTATTATCCACGTGCTTCAGGTGGTCCTAAACTTCTTCCTAATAAAAATATCCAGATATCAAGGAAGTAACTGAGAAAACGCCAACAAAATCCAGACATGACATGATTGATCACGCGAATCTTACCCTTTCTTCTCTGCTTGGCTGCAGATAATTCCCTGCCCTATACCCCACCCATGCTGACAATCATGGAAGTTGTTCCTCACATTGGGATCCAGGTTTCCGTAACCATCCTCCTGTAAACACAGAGAGTCAGGAAGTCAAAAAAAACCTTGCTGCACTAATCAAATTAGATTTAAAACAACAGGAAATCAAAGTTGTAACAAATGCAATATATATTTCATACCACTTTGGCCAATACTGATTTCTGTTCATAGCTGGACAATGAGCTCTTCATCTTTTGGTCTCCCTTACTTCTCCTGTGTCGTCCTTCGTCTGAGTTCCTGAAAATATACAACTTACAGAAGATTAGTAATAAATCAAACAAATATCACAGAAATTCACAAAATCATCTTTTCAAAAGACAAAATTAGTGGGAAAAAATTTAGCAAATGGGGACAGTTATCTAGGGAAAGGAAGTAGGAAAGGGGGTAGAGGAATTAAATGGGGATAGTTAGTCATGTTAGAGTAGGTAGGGGATAGGAGACAAAAAAGAGACAAAGTAGTTAATCAAAAAGAAAAAAAAACTTCTCTGTGATGTTCCCTGGATGATGACCTGGGTCCTTCTTTTGCTCCTTGGAATGGGCCCTTCTGTTCTGCATCCTGTCAATTGGAAGTCAAGAGTTCAAAGCCCAACCAGATCAACATCAATTGACAAGTTAACAATGGGGAAGAGTGCAAAAAGAAGAGCCCATATCTTACCTCATCTTTCAATGATGGCTGCAGCTGAATGAAAGACAGACTTCTATTATCCACGTGCTTCAGGTGGTCCTAAACTTCTTCCTAATAAAAATACCCAGATATCAAGGAAGTAACTGAGAAAGCGCCAACAAAATCCAGACATGACATGATTGATCACACGAATCTTACCCTTTCTTCTCTGCTTGGCTGCAGATAATTCCCTGCCCTATACCCCACCCACGCTGACAATCATGGAAGTTGTTCCTCACATTGGGATCCAGGTTTCCGTAACCATCCTCCTGTAAACACAGAGAGTCAGGAAGTCAAAAAAAACCTTGCTGCACTGATCAAATTAGATTTAAAACAACAGGAAATCAAAGTTGTAACAAATGCAATATATATTTCATACCACTTTGGCCAATACTGATTTCTGTTGATAGCTGGACAATGAGCTCTTCATCTTTTGGTCTCCCTTACTTCTCCTGTGTCGTCCTTCGTCTGAGTTCCTGAAAATATACAACTTACAGAAGATTAGTAATAAATCAAACAATTACAAATATCACAGAAATTCACGAAATCATCTTTTCAAAAGACAAAATTAGTGGGAAAAAAGTTAGCAAATGGGGACAGTTAACTAGGGAAAGGAAGTAGGAAAGGGGGTAGAGTAATTGAATGGGGATAGTTAGTCATGTTAGAGTAGGTAGGGGATAGGAGACAAAAAAGAGATAAAGTAGTTAATCAAAAAGAAAAAAAACTTCTCTGTGATGTTCCCTGGATGATGACCTGGGTCCTTCTTTTGCTCCTTGGAATAGCCCTTCTGTTCTGCATCCTGTCAATTGGAAGTCAAGAGTTCAAAGCCCAACCAGATCAACATCAATTGACAAGTTAACAATGGGGAAGAGTGCAAAAAGAAGAGCCCATATCTTACCTCATCTTTCAATGATGGCTGCAGCTGAATGAGAAACAGACTTCTATTATCCACGTGCTTCAGGTGGTCCTAAACTTCTTCCTAATAAAAATATCCAGATATCAAGGAAGTAACTGAGAAAACGCCAACAAAATCCAGACATGACATGATTGATCACGCGAATCTTACCCTTTCTTCTCTGCTTGGCTGCAGATAATTCCCTGCCCTATACCCCACCCATGCTGACAATCATGGAAGTTGTTCCTCACATTGGGATCCAGGTTTCCGTAACCATCCTCCTGTAAACACAGAGAGTCAGGAAGTCAAAAAAAACCTTGCTGCACTAATCAAATTAGATTTAAAACAACAGGAAATCAAAGTTGTAACAAATGCAATATATATTTCATACCACTTTGGCCAATACTGATTTCTGTTCATAGCTGGACAATGAGCTCTTCATCTTTTGGTCTGCCTTACTTCTCCTGTGTCGTCCTTCGTCTGAGTTCCTGAAAATATACAACTTACAGAAGATTAGTAATAAATCAAACAAATATCACAGAAATTCACAAAATCATCTTTTCAAAAGACAAAATTAGTGGGAAAAAATTTAGCAAATGTGGACAGTTATCTAGGGAAAGGAAGTAGGAAAGGGGGTAGAGGAATTGAATGGGGATAGTTAGTCATGTTAGAGTAGGTAGGGGATAGGAGACAAAAAAGAGACAAAGTAGTTAATCAAAAAGAAAAAAAAACTTCTCTGTGATGTTCCCTGGATGATGACCTGGGTCCTTCTTTTGCTCCTTGGAATGGGCCCTTCTGTTCTGCATCCTGTCAATTGGAAGTCAAGAGTTCAAAGCCCAACCAGATCAACATCAATTGACAAGTTAACAATGGGGAAGAGTGCAAAAAGAAGAGCCCATATCTTACCTCATCTTTCAATGATGGCTGCAGCTGAATGAGAGACAGACTTCTATTATCCACGTGCTTCAGGTGGTCCTAAACTTCTTCCTAATAAAAATATCCAGATATCAAGGAAGTAACTGAGAAAGCACCAACAAAATCCAGACATGACATGATTGATCACACGAATCTTACCCTTTCTTCTCTGCTTGGCTGCAGATAATTCCCTGCCCTATACCCCACCCATGCTGACAATCATGGAAGTTGTTCCTCACATTGGGATCCAGGTTTCCGTAACCATCCTCCTGTAAACACAGAGAGTCAGGAAGTCAAAAAAAACCTTGCTGCACTGATCAAATTAGATTTAAAACAACAGGAAATCAAAGTTGTAACAAATGCAATATATATTTCATACCACTTTGGCCAATACTGATTTCTGTTGATAGCTGGACAATGAGCTCTTCATCTTTTGGTCTCCCTTACTTCTCCTGTGTCGTCCTTCGTCTGAGTTCCTGAAAATATACAACTTACAGAAGATTAGTAATAAATCAAACAATTACAAATATCACAGAAATTCACGAAATCATCTTTTCAAAAGACAAAATTAGTGGGAAAAAAGTTAGCAAATGGGGACAGTTAACTAGGGAAAGGAAGTAGGAAAGGGGGTAGAGTAATTGAATGGGGATAGTTAGTCATGTTAGAGTAGGTAGGGGATAGGAGACAAAAAAGAGATAAAGTAGTTAATCAAAAAGAAAAAAAACTTCTCTGTGATGTTCCCTGGATGATGACCTGGGTCCTTCTTTTGCTCCTTGGAATAGCCCTTCTGTTCTGCATCCTGTCAATTGGAAGTCAAGAGTTCAAAGCCCAACCAGATCAACATCAATTGACAAGTTAACAATGGGGAAGAGTGCAAAAAGAAGAGCCCATATCTTACCTCATCTTTCAATGATGGCTGCAGCTGAATGAGAAACAGACTTCTATTATCCACGTGCTTCAGGTGGTCCTAAACTTCTTCCTAATAAAAATATCCAGATATCAAGGAAGTAACTGAGAAAACGCCAACAAAATCCAGACATGACATGATTGATCACACGAATCTTACCCTTTCTTCTCTGCTTGGCTGCAGATAATTCCCTGCCCTATACCCCACCCACGCTGACAATCATGGAAGTTGTTCCTCACATTGGGATCCAGGTTTCCGTAACCATCCTCCTGTAAACACAGAGAGTCAGGAAGTCAAAAAAAACCTTGCTGCACTAATCAAATTAGATTTAAAACAACAGGAAATCAAAGTTGTAACAAATGCAATATATATTTCATACCACTTTGGCCAATACTGATTTCTGTTCATAGCTGGACAATGAGCTCTTCATCTTTTGGTCTCCCTTACTTCTCCTGTGTCGTCCTTCGTCTGAGTTCCTGAAAATATACAACTTACAGAAGATTAGTAATAAATCAAACAAATATCACAGAAATTCACAAAATCATCTTTTCAAAAGACAAAATTAGTGGGAAAAAATTTAGCAAATGGGGACAGTTATCTAGGGAAAGGAAGTAGGAAAGGGGGTAGAGGAATTGAATGGGGATAGTTAGTCATGTTAGAGTAGGTAGGGGATAGGAGACAAAAAAGAGACAAAGTAGTTAATCAAAAAGAAAAAAAAACTTCTCTGTGATGTTCCCTGGATGATGACCTGGGTCCTTCTTTTGCTCCTTGGAATGGGCCCTTCTGTTCTGCATCCTGTCAATTGGAAGTCAAGAGTTCAAAGCCCAACCAGATCAACATCAATTGACAAGTTAACAATGGGGAAGAGTGCAAAAAGAAGAGCCCATATCTTACCTCATCTTTCAATGATGGCTGCAGCTGAATGAGAGACAGACTTCTATTATCCACGTGCTTCAGGTGGTCCTAAACTTCTTCCTAATAAAAATACCCAGATATCAAGGAAGTAACTGAGAAAGCGCCAACAAAATCCAGACATGACATGATTGATCACACGAATCTTACCCTTTCTTCTCTGCTTGGCTGCAGATAATTCCCTGCCCTATACCCCACCCACGCTGACAATCATGGAAGTTGTTCCTCACATTGGGATCCAGGTTTCCGTAACCATCCTCCTGTAAACACAGAGAGTCAGGAAGTCAAAAAAAACCTTGCTACACTAATCAAATTAGATTTAAAACAACAGGAAATCAAAGTTGTAACAAATGCAATATATATTTCATACCACTTTGGCCAATACTGATTTCTGTTCATAGCTGGACAATGAGCTCTTCATCTTTTGGTCTCCCTTACTTCTCCTGTGTCGTCCTTTATTTGAGTTTCTGAAAATATACAACTTACAGAAGATTAATAATAAATCAAACAATTACAAATATCACAGAAATTCACGAAATCATCTTTTCAAAAGACAAAATTAGTGGGAAAAAAGTTAGCAAATGGGGACAGTTAACTAGGGAAAGGAAGTAGGAAATGGGGTAGAGGAATTGAATGGGGATAGTTAGTCATGTTAGAGTAGGTAGGGGATAGGAGACAAAAAAGAGACAAAGTAGTTAATCAAAAAGAAAAAAAAACTTCTCTGTGATGTTCCCTGGATGATGACCTGGGTCCTTCTTTTGCTCCTTGGAATGGGCCCTTCTGTTCTGCATCCTGTCAATTGGAAGTCAAGAGTTCAAAGCCCAACCAGATCAACATCAATTGACAAGTTAACAATGGGGAAGAGTGCAAAAAGAAGAGCCCATATCTTACCTCATCTTTCAATGATGGCTGCAGCTGAATGAGAGACAGACTTCTATTATCCACGTGCTTCAGGTGGTCCTAAACTTCTTCCTAATAAAAATACCCAGATATCAAGGAAGTAACTGAGAAAGCGCCAACAAAATCCAGACATGACATGATTGATCACACGAATCTTACCCTTTCTTCTCTGCTTGGCTGCAGATAATTCCCTGCCCTATACCCCACCCACGCTGACAATCATGGAAGTTGTTCCTCACATTGGGATCCAGGTTTCCGTAACCATCCTCCTGTAAACACAGAGAGTCAGGAAGTCAAAAAAAACCTTGCTACACTAATCAAATTAGATTTAAAACAACAGGAAATCAAAGTTGTAACAAATGCAATATATATTTCATACCACTTTGGCCAATACTGATTTCTGTTCATAGCTGGACAATGAGCTCTTCATCTTTTGGTCTGCCTTACTTCTCCTGTGTCGTCCTTTGTCTGAGTTCCTGAAAATATACAACTTACAGAAGATTAGTAATAAATCAAACAAATATCACAGAAATTCACAAAATCATCTTTTCAAAAGACAAAATTAGTGGGAAAAAATTTAGCAAATGGGGACAGTTATCTAGGGAAAGGAAGTAGGAAAGGGGGTAGAGGAATTGAATGGGGATAGTTAGTCATGTTAGAGTAGGTAGGGGATAGGAGACAAAAAAGAGATAAAGTAGTTAATCAAAAAGAAAAAAACTTCTCTGTGATGTTCTCTGGATGATGACCTGGGTCCTTCTTTTGCTCCTTGGAATAGCCCTTCTGTTCTGCATCCTGTCAATTGGAAGTCAAGAGTTCAAAGCCCAACCAGATCAACATCAATTGACAAGTTAACAATGGGGAAGAGTGCAAAAAGAAGAGCCCATATCTTACCCCATCTTTCAATGATGGCTGCAGCTGAATGAGAAACAGACTTCTATTATCCACGTGCTTCAGGTGGTCCTAAACTTCTTCCTAATAAAAATATCCAGATATCAAGGAAGTAACTGAGAAAGCACCAACAAAATCCAGACATGACATGATTGATCACACGAATCTTATCCTTTCTTCTCTGCTTGGCTGCAGAAAATTCCCTGCCCTATATCCCACCCATGCTGACAATCATGGAAGTTGTTCCTCACATTGGGATCCAGGTTTCCGTAACCATCCTCCTGTAAACACAGAGAGTCAGGAAGTCAAAAAAACCTTGCTGCACTAATCAAATTAGATTTAAAACAACAGGAAATCAAAGTTGTAACAAATGCAATATATATTTCATACCACTTTGGCCAATACTGATTTCTGTTCATAGCTGGACAATGAGCTCTTCATCTTTTGGTCTCCCTTACTTCTCCTGTGTCGTCCTTCGTCTGAGTTCCTGAAAATATACAACTTACAGAAGATTAGTAATAAATCAAACAATTACAAATATCACAGAAATTCACAAAATCATCTTTTCAAAAGACAAAATTAGTGGGAAAAAAGTTAGCAAATGGGGACAGTTAACTAGGGAAAGGAAGTAGGAAATGGGGTAGAGGAATTGAATGGGGATAGTTAGTCATGTTAGAGTAGGTAGGGGATAGGAGACAAAAAAGAGACAAAGTAGTTAATCAAAAAGAAAAAAAAACTTCTCTGTGATGTTCCCTGGATGATGACCTGGGTCCTTCTTTTGCTCCTTGGAATGGGCCCTTCTGTTCTGCATCCTGTCAATTGGAAGTCAAGAGTTCAAAGCCCAACCAGATCAACATCAATTGAAAGAAAACAATGGGAAAGAGTGCAAAAAGAAGAGCCCATATCTTACCTCATCTTTCAATGATGGCTGCAGCTGAATGAGAGACAGACTCCTATTATCCACGTGCTTCAGGTGGTCCTAAACTTCTTCCTAATAAAAATATCCAGATATCAAGGAAGTAACTGAGAAAGCGCCAACAAAATCCAGACATGACATGATTGATCACACGAATCTTACTCTTTCTTCTCTGCTTGGCTGCAAATAATTCCCTGCCCTATACCCCACCCATGCTGACAATCATGGAAGTTGTTCCTCACATTGGGATCCAGGTTTCCGTAACCATCCTCCTGTAAACACAGAGAGTCAGGAAGTCAGAAGAGAAACCTTGCTGCACTGATTAAATTAAATTTAAAACAACAGGAAATCAAAGTTGTAACAAATGCAATATATATTTCATACCACTTTGGCCAATACTGATTTCTGTTCATAGCTGGACAATGAGCTCTTCATCTTTTGGTCTGCCTTACTTCTCCTGTGTCGTCCCTTGTCTGAGTTCCTGAAAATATACAACTTACAGAAGATTAGTAATAAATCAAACAATTATAAATATCACTGAAATTTACAAAAACACAAAAACATAATTTAAAAAAAGAGAAAAAGAAAAAAGTAGAAAAATAAGCTAGCAAATGGGGACAGTTAGCTGTGGAAAGAGTTGAAGAGAGGGTGTAGGGGAAGAGAATTTAGATCGTTAGTAATATTATAGTAGGTTCATGTAGTGGATAAGAGACAGAAATAGAGACCAAGGAATTTAACAAAACAGAAAGAAAAAAACTTCTCTGTGAGCTAGGCTCCCTGGATGATGAACCCGGGTCCTTCTTCTGCTCCTTCTTCCTAATAATAAAAATATCCAGATGTTAAAGGAATTGACTGAGAAAAAACAAACAAAATCCAGACATGACAGAATTTATCTCACCAATCTTATCGTTTTTTCTCAACTTGGCTGCAGTTGATTTCCTGCTAATATCCACGCTTTGCTGACAATTATGGAAGTTGTTCCTCACATTGGGATCCCGTTTAATGTTACCATCCTCCTGTTAAAATAGGGTCAGGATGTCAAAGAAGAAATCTTAATGCTTTGATCAAGTTATAATAAAAACAACATGGAATCAAAATTCCAGTGAAGAAATATCAGAATAATTTTTATTTTTAATTGACATCCATTTTAAATAGTATTGTTTTTTTTTAATTATAACTAGAATTAGCTTAAACTAGCACCTAAATGTATTTTAAAAATCTCATTGTTTTGAGACAGCATTTAAATATGATTTCTTAAGTAAGCAGGATTGAAATGCTTTCACAAAGACTTATCTGGGTAATGGGTATAAAGTTGTGTAAAGTATTCATTCCAAAATTTGATTTGATAAGATAGATTGACAGAAAATGAGGAAAGTTTAAAGGAAATTGTGACAGACGGACACATGGAAGGATTAACGAACAAGGAAAGAAAGATGAAAGACAGAACTGAAAAAACTGTATGCCCCAAGCAATACATGTGAATCCACTTATATACACCACTTATACAAAATATTAGAGGGTCTATGAATTTAGTTTCCACATCCAGGTTTATACAGATGACATACTAGATAACAGAGTTAAATTAACAACAATAGACAAGTTCAACCAGAAAGTCAGTTGCTTAAATAGAAATCATTTTTAAAATTCCGTGGTATAGATAAAACAAGAGGTCCATGGGCCACAACGCTCACATGAGTAACTTTGGCCCTGCTGTTCTTCACCAGACTATCCCCCATGTAATACCTTTTGGCCCATCCTACCCCAAGGGGTCATGATTTTAACAATTTGTAATCTACACTACTCCAGGATGCTTCCACATAAATTTCAGCATTTATGGCCCAGTGGTTCTTAAAAAGGAGATCTTTAAAGATTTTTCATATATATATATATTTCAATGTAAAAAGTTAATTCCTTATTGTGGCCCATCCTACCCCCGGGGGTCATGATTTTAAAGATTTAGAATCTACACTACCCCAGGATGCTTCCACATAAGTTTCAGCTTTTCTGGTCGAATGGTTCTTGACAAAACGATTTTTAAAGATTTTTACTATATATTTCAATGTAAAACATGGGTTCCCTATTGTGACCCCACCCTACCCCCGAGGGGCATGATTTTATCAATTTAGAATCTACACTATTCCAGGATGCTTTCACATAAGTTTGTTTTCTGGCCCAGTGGTTCTTGAGAAGAAGATTTTTAAAGATTTTTTTTTCTATATAGTTCAGTCTTAAACTTGGATTCTCTATTTTGGCCCCACCCTACCCCCGGGGGTCATGGTTTTTACAATTTATTTTTAAAAATATAAATTATAAATTGAAATTTATTTCAATGTAAAACTTAAATTCCCTTTTGTGACCCCACATTACCCCCGGAGGTTGTGATTTTATCTACACCACCCCAGGATACTTCCAAATAAATTTCAGCTTTCCTGGCCCAATGGTTCCTGAAAAGATTTTTAAAGATTTTTTCGATATATTTTAATGTAAAACATGGATTCCCTATTGTGGCACCCTATCCCCGGGGGTCATGATTTTAACAATTTCGTATCTACACTACCCAAGGGTGCTCCCACATAAGTTTCAGCTTTTCTGGCCCGGTTGTTCTTGAGAAGAAGATTTTTAAAGATTTTTTTCTATATATTTCAGTCTTAAACTTGGACTCTCTATTTTGGCCCCACCCTACCCCCGGGGGTCATGGTTTTTACAATTTAAAATCTACAGTACTCCAGCATGCTTCCAAATAAGTTTCAGCTTTTCTGGCCAAGTGGTTCTTGAGAAAAAGATTTTTAAAGATATTTTCTGTATATTTCAAAGTAAAACATGGATTCCCTATTGTGGCCCGCCCTACCCCCTGGGATCATGATTTTAACAATTTAGAATTTACACTACCCCAGGATGCTTCCACATAAGTTTCAGTTTTCTGACCGAGTGGTTCTTGAGAAGAAGATTTTTTAATGACCCCTCCTTATATTTGCCTTTTCTTGATTATCTCCCCTTGTAAGGGTTCTTGGCCCTTCAATTTAACAATTTAAACTCCCGTTAACCCAAGAATTGTACTACCTTTGGTTAAAATTGGTCCAGTGGTTCTTGAGAAGAAGTTGAAAAAGTGAAAAGTTTACAGACGGACGGAGGGACGGACGACGGACAAAGAATTATCAGAAAAGCTCACGTGAGTTTTCAGCTCAGGTGAGATAACTAGAAATGTGTCCATAGGATATGAATGCCACGCCTAGGGTTCAATGTCCATAGGACATGAATGCCACGCCCAGGGTTTATTTTTAAACGTGCATACCTTTTTTTAAATTTATCGGAAAAATGAACAGCATTTGTAGAAGCATGATTAGAGGGATAGATACTGAAATATATTTTTAGCTTACTAGTAATTACTCTATTTTCATGCTACATTTAACAAAAACCCTGATATATCGTTAGCGTTAGCTACATGTAACATTGTTCTTGGGAAATCACAAGTCCTATTTGATAAATAGTTTTTGTTTGATACTCTGAATTAAACTCGGTTCTAACTAAATCTATACTACACAGCTTTTTCACAAAAACAGGTTTTTATGAGACGCAACTTTGATGTCGGAATTTTTTTGGTGCAAAATTGTAATTCACTATTTCAATGACAGGAAAAAAAAGAATGTTTATAAACTTCTGCTGTTCATATTTGCGATGGAAGTACTATTTACAAGCTTCGATTAAAGCAGAATTACATTATTGTCGTCCTGTACAATATTTATTCCTTATATAATATCATATATTCAATTGTACATGTCTTTCTTCTGAAACAATCTAATACTTTATTAAAGTGAAATTGACAAAAAGATTTCAATTACATAAGAATTTATTTACATTTTAACATCAAAATTAAATTCTCAAAAATGCAGCTCATATTGATACTGGCAACCGACATGATTGTTTCTTTTACTTCACTGTTAACCCTCTGCATTTAAATATATTAATTCACAAAAAAAAAACAACAGTTTATAATTTAAATAATTGGAAATTTCTCCTCCTTCTGTGTACTTTACATAATGAAATTCTCTGAATCAGTGAAATATCTAGAAAAAGACTGTCATTATTCTATTGATATCAAAAATGTGTACAAAAATGTCTTTTTTTGAAATTCTGAGGTTAACTGATAAAATCAATTCTGCAGTGAATATTGATAAATCAACTTTGTAACTTAAAATAATAAAAATATGGCAATCCATTTCAAGTTTTTCAGAAAAAGGTCATACCCCCCCTTTTTTTTCAATAAGAAATCTCGACAAAATATTATTTCTGAAACGAAATAAATTCATTTTTCATCTGTTCAAAGTAATGCTCTAGATTTTGTTCACTAAAGTTTTTAAAAAAGACTTCTAATCCAACAGAAACATTCAAAATGGTACCCATTAAAAAACTAGAAATATGTCCATAGGACATGAATGCCCCGCCGAGGGTATATTAGTAATGCAATATTTTAACACAAATTAAGAAAAGTGAGGTCAAGGTCAAAGGAAAGGTCAAGGTAAAAAAAATATTGATGCAGTTGAATAGCTTACATCAGTATATATCAGCATATGAAGTTTGACACTAATTTAAGAAATGTGAGGTCAAGGTCAAAGGAAAGGTCAAGGTCAAAAATTGTTGCTGCAGTTGAAAAGACTACATCAGTATGTATCAGCATATGAAGTTTGATAAAAATATTATGAATAGTTTCTTTAAAACTGAGCTTAACACTAATTTAAGAAAAGTGAGGTCAAGGTCAAAGGAAAGGTCAAGGTAAAAAAATATTGATGCAGTTGAATAGCTCTCATCAGTGTGTATCAGCATATGAAGTTTGACACTAATTTAAGAAAAGTGAGGTCAAGGTCAAAGGAAAGGTCAAGGTCAAAAAATGTTGATGCAGTTGAATAGCTCTCATCAGTATGTATCAGCATATGAAGTTTGATAACACCAACTTGAATGGTACCTTTAAAACTGAGCTAAAACTTATTTAAGAAAAGTGAGGTCAAGGTCAAAGGAAAGGTCAAGGTCAAAAATATTGATGCAGTTGAATAGCTCTAATCACTATGTATCAGCATACAAAGTTTGTTAAAAATATCTTTAATGGTTTCATTAAAACTGAGCTAAACACTAATTTAAGAAAAGTGAGGTCAAGGTCAAAGGAAAGGTCAAGGTCAAAAAATGTTGATGCAGTTGAATAGCTTACATCAGTATGTATCAACATATGAAGTTTGATTAAACTATCTTGAATGGTATCTTAAAAATTGAGCTAAACACTACTTTATGAAAAGTGAGGTCAAGGTCAAAAGAAAGGTCAAGGTTAAAAAAATGTTGATGCAGTTGAATAGCTTACATCAGTATGTATCAACATATGAAGTTTGATTAAACTATCTTGAATGGTATCTTAAAAAATTGAGCTAAACACTACTTTAAGAAAAGTGAGGTCAAGGTCAAAGGAAAGGTCAAGGTCAAAAAATGTTGATGCAGTTGCATAGCTCTTATCAATATCTATCAGCACATGAAGTTTGATAAAAATATCTTGTGTAGTTTCTTTGAAACTGAGCTTTGAACAGAGCTAAACGCAAAGTGTGACGGAAGGACAGACAGAAGGACGGAAGGACAGAAGGACGGAAGGACGGAAGACGGACATGACAAACACTATATGCCCCGGCCATATTCATGGCGGGGCATAAAAATCTAGCTCCCCTCAAAGACACCCCTGTCCCCATTCCCCTGCAACTTCCTTTCCAAAAACCTGATGATGGTCCTGCATTTTTTTTTTATTATTGAATGTAATTTTTTTGCTTTGGGTATAGTTACCTTTTGAGGGGAAGGGGACTACATCTGTACATAACTTAGTTAAAAGCTTAACATTTGAATAAAGGTATTTTTAAAAACTTCGTTGTAATAAACTAATAAAAACTCATACACTGCATTGCAATTATATATGTAGCTCCTGTAAATACATACAGTGTAAATAAATAAATACATCTCTACATCTCATATAGACAGGAACCTGTAAATCCACTGGCGGATTTAGAGGGGGCCAAGGGGCCCGGGTCCCCCTTTTGTGTCCAAAATATACTTAAGATTTAATAAATCATTTTTTGAGTGTGTGGCCGTGGGCCCCTACCCCGACAAAAAACTGGTCGGGTCCCCAATTTTCAAGATTCCTGGATCCGCCACTGAAATCTATTGGATATTTATACAAGTATATGTACAAATGTACCTCATTTTCTTAACAATGCTTACCAGGGTTAACAAACGAATCCTTAAAACCAGATAATCCTCAGAAATCTTGTCAACTCACAACAACCAAATCTTTAAAAACCCGAAAAACTAAGGAAAAGAGGAGAAAAATGGGAGAAGGTGGTTCTAACTTTGTTAAAAGATTTACACAGAAACGTGATTTTTTATAAAGGAAGATGTGCCATACGGTCCCCGGTAAATTGCCAAAAAATTAAATAAAATATCTAAAATTTACTCTAATTTTTGCATGTACTTTATCACTGATATGTGTACTCTCATGGAATATTATTTTTACCGAAAATAGAAAGATAACTTGGAAGATTTTTTTTTTGAATTGGGTACCATGTTTACATCCAATTCCCATTCAATTTTGGCCCCGTCCCACTCTTTGAAGCCCTTAAAATATACGCGCGAAAGTAGGTATATTTTTCTCCTTTGGCTGGTCGCTGTATTTTTAATGAAATCTACCTAAATGTGAAAGGAGAAAATTGTA